TTTTTTTTTTTTTACACCCAGTGATTACGGCTAATACTTAACGGAAGTTTATGTTCTATTTCTTCTAACAGATATGTAGCTCTAAGTTGGCTCTTTTCTTGACTTGCTTTTACTTTTTATATTAGCAATGCCCTTCCCACCTGTTCAGCTTTCCACCACTCACACAGATTCCAGTTTCAAGTTACCAAAATTGTATTTGTTGCATATGCCAAAAGCAGTGGATCAATACACCACAGAAATCTGCACTAGAACAGAAAGGTTCTTTACGCTTGAGGCCTTTCCAAAAATGCAGTGTAGCCTTTTCTCTGCACCAACGTATCTCACTGGTGTACAGTAACATCCACTGGCCTAAGGATGTATTTCTGCTTTTGTGCGCGCACAAAGTGCAAGAGACTTGCCTCCTGCAACACACACACATGCACTTAAAAAATAAACACTACTCATACTATGGTATATTAAAGGCCTGTAAAAAGGCCACTGGAGTTTTAAAAACTTGAATAAAAAAATTGCACTAACCTACCAGGAGAGAGAAACTGCAGTCTTAACAGTTACATCCAGAAACTCAAATTTTTATCAACTTTCTGGTACCACATGGCAGAGACCTTGTGACTAAGGACTACAGATCCATATACCGTACTTACCATTACAGCGATTATAATCGCTCCCTGAGAATCTGTAGGTCCTCATCACAGCTCTTAAATCTCTCATTACATTAGCAGCTCTTTTAGGTACCTCAGCAGAGTATCATCTTACGCTTAAAACTGGCCCATATATGCAGAGAGAGATATGAATTATCCAAAATGGTTAACGTGTTACAGGGTCCACAAATGAAGGATTTTCTGCTCCCATTTCATATCGTTGCACCAGGCTGGGATCACAAATGTTTAAGAAGCCTAAAGAAATTTACTGTATGTACTTAATCCTACCTAAGTAACTGTTAGCTGGAACAGGAACTAGATTCTTATCTTGGAGGCTCTCGTCACCAACTTCATAAGGCCCATCATCAAAGATACCCAGATCATAAAATGTCTGATTCTTTTGCTCTGCACGAACCACCCCTGAAGAAATGAAATGATAAAATAAAAGCAAATGAATGGTAAGGGAGAAAAATAACAGATAAATGGTTCCCAACTAACATTAATTACGACGAATGAGGTAGTGACTGCTATGTAAATGGGACAAACACATAACAGTGCACTGGGTGAAAGCGTTTTCAAAAGGCAATGAATTTCTAAGTTCTATCTGTGTGCCACACTCTCAATGCTGCTCTGCAGAGGCCATGCAGTGATCTGGAAAATACGGGATACTAAGAAAATTCTCAACAAAAACACGGGACCAACTTGGTCAGGAACCACCCTCATCCCACAGTTCTTAACCTCATAAAGCCTCTCTTAAAAGGGAGGTAAGTACACAGGAATAGAAAAAAAAAAATTACTGTTCAGCTATGACAAACACCGGTGATATATTTAGAAAACATTATTTAAGGGGAAAAGAGCTATTGTTCAATAAAACGTATGCGTCCCTTCTCTCAACAGGCATATTTAACATTTTGGCAAGCACAAACATGTTTTTCCATGATACAAAAGAGTACTCTTATGACTCATATACTTTCATAGCACTTCTCTGCAATTAAAGTAAAACAGTGTCTGAACAAAATATGCTGTTTCAGCTTGGTCAGATTTTGTTGACAGATATGTGGAGGATTAAGTTTTCACTAAAGTACACGTTGTGCCAGAGTTAACTCAAAGATTTTGCATGGTTCATATAGCAGGCACAGGTGTACAGAGGGAAAAAATGTCATGGTTCGAGGATCAGATGTTCTAAAGAGGGAAGCTGTTGGTGTAATGAAGTGTGACGGGAAAAACCACTTTAAGAAAAAGAGACAGAGCCGGCCATTTAGATGCTTCTCAATATAAACTAACAGAGAAAATCTACGCTTTTTTTCTCTTAAGTTTTGGAATATCTCCTAGATTATATAGAGTACTGGGCTCTTAGTCAGACAGATTATCCATAGAATTTTACATGGATATCCATGGATTTAGATATGAATGCATGTAATATTTCTCTGTTCAGTTATCTTCCTGCAATCCTCCAGTATTTAATTTGGGAAGTACTACTTTCCACAGACTTCACAAAGAATAAAGTGGAGAATACTGCAGGATAAACAAAGACCTCAGTGCAGCTATCTAACATTTGCTCAAATGCAGGAAAAAAGGTTGGTCAAATAAGCTTAAAATAATTTAGTAACTTGTTCCAGTATGGAAGTCACAAAGCAAGCACTCAATCCTACCGTAAGATTAAGACTAATAAGGGGGAAAAAAAAGAGTTCCATTACCCATTCATAAGTACTCCCTCAAAGATATTTAAAAGAACTTCAGGACATACTTTTGATACAGGAGCATAGCATTTTGTGAAAACAGGGTAAAATCATTAGATCCCTATTATCCCCTCCCCCCTCAAAGAAAAAAACAAACAAACAAAAAAAAAACCCCACCACCTTAGGATGCAACCCTTGTGAGCAATCTCAGAGGAAATGGGAAGGGCAGGCAGGAAGGAAGCCAGGTCATACCTTTCCAATTGTAAGTGCCTGGGGCACCAAACACAATATAATGATAGTCTCTAGTAAAAGTAGCAGCAACACCTTGCTGACAGGAACCAAACTTCTCATGGCCTCTTAAACGACCATCACAAAAACTCCATACTCCATTATCCATATCATCCTTAATAGTGAGATCCTGGCTCAGCACATAGCACCTTCCAATGATATCCCGGGTTTCCTGCACTGTGTTTACATACTGCCTTTTCTCATAGCGATGTGCACATGTCTGCAAGATAGAAGACATAGTAAGTGATGCTTTCCGTATGTTTGTATGCAAGTCATCAAAGAAGGCTGGTCTCCTTTAGCAATACTTCATGCTAGCAATGCTGTAAGTCAGTCACCTTGTAGACACATCCATGTTGCAATGCAGAGAGAGTCCACTGTTCCCCATGGGCAATGTATAGGAAGCTCTGGGCGTCAATGGATACAAGTCAGGCAACCAGCTTCATGGTCAAGGAAGGCCACATGGTTAAAATTCCTCTTCTCTGTGGGATTTAGGAGTTTTAGCCCTACAGCCTTCCCTAATACCTAATCACTCTCTTTCAAGAGGTGAGGACAGAGCCACCCTATCTCTCATAAAGAAAGAAGTGGCTGTGTTTCCCCACAGCTGTCAGTTAAATGACTTACACACTTGTGCAGGACATGAGAAGCTGGTTCAACTACCATCTACCTGAGACTATTCAGAACTCACCCCTTCCAGAAAAGTGTCACAAAGCAGAGGCTGAAAGCTTTTCCAGTGAAGGAGAGGGAAGTTGTTCCTACTTCCTATGTTGAATGTTCCACTTAGAAGATAACTGGCATCGGGACAGAGCCGCAGCACTGAGCACAGCCTGTTCCTTAACCTTTTAGACTGTTCACCTGGGAACAGAATTCTAATCAAATATTTAACACAAAAGATGAGTAGCCACTCGGTTAAGCGGTGTAACCACCAAACTATTGTAGAAAAAGGTAGAACAGTCAAACCCCTTTGCCAGCAGTGTTTTTTGCAGAACTGGATGTAGGAAGTGTGTGAACAGCACAACCACACCAGGTTTCTCAGCTGACATACCTTTTCTATGGTTCCTATCAAGGCTTAAATATTAAGCAAACACGCAGCTCCTCTACACTTAGAGCACTGCAGTACTGCCCTGCTGCCCAGTGACGTTCAGGCTGCCCACACCTCATCTAGTAAGTGCATTTCCCACTTAGCACTTAGAAAGAAAAGTTTCTTCTCAGAAAAGACAAGACAACATTAGTTATTATTATATATATATTATGAATATCTGCAAGAATATAATTAGATGGGGAAGCTTCACTGCACACCCATTTTATGATGTAGCTGGTATCCTGCAGCATCATGAGAGGTTTATTTAACTAAGAAAGAGCTAAAAAAGTAACATTCTCTGGTAACTCCTGAAAGCTTTTTCTCTCTGTATTGTATAAAATAAAGAGTACCTCTGTATCGTATAAAATAAAGAATAGCTAGTAGTCTTACTGCAGTGCAATGACCACATTAATTCATAGGAGCAAATCAGCCAAACTCCCTGATGAAAGTTAAAGTGATGTTGATCATCTTGGAAAACAGGCTGATGATAGCCTGCTACTTTTACAACCTTATCACACCTATTTCTGTAGCCAGTGGTATTTAAAAGAAACAATACGTGTATCACAAAAACAGTAAGCAGACATCCTGAAAATGAGCTGTCCATCCTAGACTGTTACAAAGGTCATAAAGAAAGGCCAACTCACAGTTAAATAAATAATTTAAAGCTTTTACAATCTCAAGTATCTTACTTAGCTAGGGAGACATTTAAGTCCATCCTTACAAGAAATCACAGGATTAAACACAGGAAAGTTACCTTTCAGAAAGCTGCATAGAAACACAGACCATTCAGAACATTTACCATAGATACAAAACTTTTCTATAAGTTAGTCCTTTAGACTTACCACCACATTTCCTCCTGGCCCCTGACTTTGGACAGTTACACCCATCCATTGGTCTTCTTTACTCTCCATCTTCGGATCAGCTGCAGAGTATCATAATACAGCTTCAAATATTAACAGTTAATTACTTTTTTTTTTTTTTTTTTTTTTTGAAGTCCCAGTCAGGACAGGCACTTCCTACAGTACACGAGGCAGTCTGCAGGTGGCAGTGTCTGTACATTTTATCACTGACAACATCCATTTTATTAAACACTTCTAGCATAGTACTTCATGTCGCATCAATTTACAGAAGAGTAAGAACATCCAAATATACCAAGATTGAAGCATCTCGTGCAAGCTTAGCAATTAAGCTAGGGCTTATTCTCATGCAAAGAAAAGTTACGTATAAAGCCATAGAATCAACTGTCTGATACACTGCCTTTGGAAAGGACCACATGAAATAAGAAAAATCAGACAACTGTTTCAATCCAAAACAAAAGCGCTGAAGAACTTACTCTCCTCATCAAATACGACACGTGTGCAGCGTGTATTTGGAGATGCGATGTCACAGCTGTACAACCCTCCTGTTCTGTTGGCTTGTTGGGATGGAAAGGCCTTTTCCCGAGGAGCTCCAACCAGCAATCTGCAGGGAAATTTTTTTAGAGAAATAATTTCAAGGGATCTACAGAGGTAATATTAGAAAAGACAAAGGCAACAGAATCAGGAATTGTTTTCACCATGTTGCTAGAGGTTCGACTTGCAAACATTTGAAGATGTATGAAAAGCTACATCACAGAACCATTCCTTAAAAAAAGAGGGGGCTGTAAAGCAGTAATAGTTCTGCAATTACTGGACCTGCAAAGCAGTAAATGTATTGCTATTACTGCTACAATTGTTGCAATGTTCAGTGAAAGTGGTTGACCAAAAAAAGAAAAAAAAAGTAGGTGTCTGGCAGTTTTGTAAAAAACATCCTTCTGTCACGGAGTCAAGTGGGGTATTTTTTGCCTTACTAAAAATTGTTGCTAAGGGTGGGAAAAGTGTTGTTACTAAAATGACCACAAACCCCCAAAACAGTGAATACAAGTGCTTTTCAGGCTTGTCCTGGTTTCGGCTGGGATAGAGTTAATTTTCTTCCTAGCAGCAGGCATAGTGTTGTGCTTTGGATTTAGTAGGAGAATAATGCTGATAACACGCTGATGTTTTTAGTTGTTGCTAAGTACTGCTTATGCTAGTCAAGGACTTTTCAGCTTCCCATGCTCTGCCAGGTGCACAAGAAACTGGGAGGGGGCACAGCCAGAAGAGTTGATCCAAACTGACCAAAGGGCTATTCCATACCATATGACGTCATGCTCAGTATATAAACTGGGGGGGGTTGGCCGGGGAGCAGCGATTGCTCCTGGGGAGCTGTCTGGGTATCGGTCAGCGGGTGGTAAGCAATTGCATTGTGCATCACTTGCTTTGTGTATTACTATTATTATCATCATTATTATATTGTTATTATTATCATTACTATTTTACTTTATTTCAATTATTAAACTGTTCTTATCTAAACCCAGGAGTGTTTCTCACTCTTACTCCTCCGATTCTCTCCCCCATCCCATCAGGGTAGGGGGAGTGAGCGAGCGGCTGCGTGGTGCTTAGTTGCTGGCTGGGGCTAAACCACGACAAGGCTGTCTTCTAGTTTTACACCAGTGCTGTGCCACTGTTTGGCTGAATTTACAGACACCTTAGTATCTCCATCCTGTGAAGCAAAGCAAGATCCCTCCTGGCCCAAGCAAGTGTTCTTCACCAAACTATTCCCGGCTCTGTGCAAAAATGCACTACTCCTCTCCACTCCTTTGGCCAGACACTCCATTTTGAAGCTGACAATGTTTTTCTCCAACAAATCTCCCATCAAGAACTGATCATGCCCACAAAGGACTTATTTCTCCTCTAAAAAGGCCACTCTAATGAGCCCTCGTTAGACACTGTTCTGGCCAAATGTGAAGGTTCTTATTTTAAAAACTGAACAAAGCAAATTTTCTTCCTGTATCAACTGACTCCCAAGAGTATTATCACACCACCACCAGTAGACATATTTACTTGCAAAACAAGGGTTTTCAGCCAAAAAAATCCTTACGTTGTCTAGTTTTCCTTGAAGGGTCACACGCACAAAGCACAGCTGCCTTTCAAGCAGCTAACTGAAATAACAACCACCAGTGTGCAATAGTTTGTGGAAGAAACAAGAAACATCACGCTCAGCTGAAAAACTGAGACCAAGAGAACAGCGTGTTGATAGCTGCAACACAGCAGGTACAAAGGATGGATGGATGCTGAACCAGACTCCATGTGTTTCCTGACCCTGGCACAAAACATGTGAAAGAGATCCCTGACGTTACCGTGTCACAGAGGGCAAAGCTGGGACTATAGTTGGACCCACAAGGCTCAGAGAGGAACTCAGACCCTCTTTAAGGCTTCAGCTATAGAGTTTTGCTCTTGAGAGAAAAGTTTTTCTGTATGCTTTATAGTGGCAGTGGGACAAAATACACTGCAGTCCCCCAGAATGCTTTTCTTGCTAAAAACAAGACTCACTTTTATTCATATCTAACACTTAAGACTGGATCAGCTAAGATCATACATTTTTATTATTGAGAAAACATTTATTCAGTGTCACTAAAATAATGAGACAAAAAAATTAAATTGATGTATTCTGAGAAAACACGCTTTTTTAAAAACAGAAAATTCTATCTGGATTATGGAACAGCCAAGTTTTCACCACTTTTACAGAAATAAATTCTCCCACAATTTGTCGTCGTGAAGGTAACCCCCTGAATGGTGAAACCTTCAGGTAAAATACTTGCTTTTAACTGATACGCATATAAAATCAGGACACACAGTGTGGGTGGGTTTTGGTTTAAAGTGTTTCCTTCTTTTCCCCCTACATATGTCTGGCATCTTTTTCAAAGATTTTTTTCAGAAACATAGCAGTCATCACAAGAGTTTGTAACCTAAACAACCACGCTTTTAGAAAGGCCATCAACTACTTCATTTTCTAATTTTGGCAACAGTGCATTTAACTCTAATCTCTTAGAGTAATTCTTTTGCAAAGCATCTGTTTCTGAGCTATTCCTAACATGGGAATAGATACATTTTCTCCTCAGTTCTGTTATCCCCCACAGAAAGACAGATGAGTTTTTTGTTTGTTTTTTTTTTTTACATTAACAACCATAAATTTAAGAAAGTAGAGGCACTGATTTCCTAACTTACAGAAATTCTTATTATTTCTACTTTTTCATTCAAAGCTTGGGGGGTAAAAATGATGTATGGAATCTCACTTACAGGAATTTGATCAGAAACCTTTTGTTTCGACATTGTGAACACAACTAAAAGCTTCTGGAATTGAAATACTTAATTTGGTTTAATTCACCCACCTGCATGCTACCAACAGCAGTGGTGCTAGATCAAGAAAATTACAACCCTGTTCTTTTTTTATGGGATAGCTAGACCATATCCTCTCCCTAGCTAAATGACACCTTTTACAGCATACCATGATGTGACAATAATCTTGATGACAATTCAGCCAGAGGGAAGACCTACTGAGGCATCAGGGAATAAACAGCGTAGCCAAAAAAAGATAAAGTGGAAAGATGTGCCCCCTGACATAACATACCCCAAATATTCAATGGCATCTCAAACAGACACCTGTTGAGATCAATAGATGAAAAAAGCAATTCTTCAGCCTTCTTAAAAAGTGTCAACGCAACATGATCTCAAGGAAACAGGCAACCTTAGATTTTTCCGAGTGCTCATAACCACTGTCCAAATCTTGCATAAGTCATTTTCCCCTAATTTTGCAGAAGTTATTTTCCACTGTAAACAAAGTATTTCAAGGCAGACTTACTTAAAACCCTCCAGACTTCCAAGAACTTTTGTCAGGAATCCTGTCACTAGTCTTCAAGGCTCACCAAACACAAAAATCTTGAATCTTGTCAGGTACGTCACTGCGAGTCCTTATTCACAACACAGTTCAACAGTAGCGCACACTACAAGCAAGCTGTTGCAAAGGATTAGATCAGTTCAGGTAGATACTATGGTAAATCCCGAAATGTATTTACAAGTAGCAGCCAAAGACCCATTAAAAAGTGGCCTAACTGCTTTGTGCTTCTTCACAACTTACCTGCCCCAAAGGCCACAGCAGAGAAGACTAAACCTATGCTTCCAGGTTCTGCCAGACAGGTTACTAAAGATGATGAGGATTATAAACGTTATGAGGATTATCAACATTATTAGGAATGTAAGAAAGAAGGTCAGGTGCATCTAATCTTTGGCCAAATAAATCGAGCAAAACATAAAAATCCCTTGTCAAGCACATTGTGACTTGTGATCTACAAAGCTGCTGTTCACCTTGCCTACTGTTCAAGATGTACATTTGAAAAATCAGAATTCTATTATAGAAGCCAAATTACTTCATTTAAAAATAAAAGTGTGCACAAAACTACAGAAGTATGACATGGCCGTACACCAGTGTGAATTTCAGCATGACTGTAGCAGTCCAAATGAATCAGCTTGTACACTGAGCTGTGGTACGTGCTCAACAGAGTCCTTCCAGACTGAGGACGCATTCCAGTCATTACTGTACGGCTACTTACTCAGCTGTGTTTTAATAGAAGAATTTTAATCAAGTTTGAGCTCATTATGCCAAAAATGGATTAGGTTTTTCTGCAGCTATGCATGTTCCATTTTAGCTTTCTCAGTGGCAAGCAAAACTTCTTTCTGCAAAAGGAAAGAGTTAAGGCAGGGCGAGGAGGTGCTCTCCTAGCTATCGCTATCTCCTTATATTGGCAGATGAAACACTGAGATTAAAACCAAAGAACTTCCTCTGCAAACAAAGACTGACAAAAATAGGTTCTTCATTTCTCTCCACCCATGATCACAGTATGAGTCATATATTGACTGGGACATCCCGCTGAAGGTGTACAAGGGCTACAGTCACTACTTTCAATTCAGGTCTGAATGCTCAAAGTCAGGCTCCAGAATCCGTATTTAAATACCAAAATAATGCCCCAATGTCAAGAGTCAGAAATGAAAACCCCAGAGACTCCAACATGCAGACATTTTACTGATTTTCTATCCCATGGCAGGTTTGCCTTATTACTATAGAGAGAACAGAAGCTCAGCCATACAGTATACTGAACATAAACGTGCCTGAGCATCAGTTCCTGTTGGAGCCTTAGCTTTTTATGATTTATGATGACTTAGTATCTAATGTTTACCATATGAGCTAAAAGTCAGACAAAAAAAAAATTACTACTATTCCGCATGTAAATTATGGAATCAGATGCTTCGTACTACTTGAATCCTGATTTTCCCCATTCATCTTGCTTAAATATATACTATAAACTGATTAGGTTTTCCCTGAGCCAATCAGACTGCACAGGTGTTAACTTCTATTAATAGTTCATTACGATACATTTCTGTAGATTAAAAGAAGTGTCTATCAAGTGATAATGTTGGAAAAAAAATCAGAATTATCTCATATCCTGGCACAAAACTACAAAGCTGTTTAGCTCCAGTTATACCCCATAATTAAAACACGCGCCTTCCAATTTCAAACTAAAATTCTCATTTCAAACCAAATAAATCAGTCCTGTTGCTCTA